AAGTAAAGAAACTCCGCAAGGAGAATATAGAGCTTAGGGATCGCAACGCGGAGCTAGGGGTTGAACTCGCTGAAATTAGAAATAATGTTGATACCCTTAGCTGTGGTTTGTGCGCTAAAATCAAGCGTGCATTCATAGAGATGGGGAAGGAAAATAAATATTATGCTAATTAGATGTCTCCTTTCCCATAAATAAAATGGTAGTAGGTGCTTGGTTTTTATTTTTCCAATCATGTAAAGCACTTACTATGAATAATGTGGCTCATTGGTGTTAACCCCAATGGTTGCCAAAGTTGTTTTTTGTTTTATGTTTAATAAAGTTCAGGTTTTGAATAAGTGTGGGGGAGATATTCTAGCTTCTGACGTGCATATACTCTGAAAAATTGCTGAATCTCTGAACACCTGGAAGCACTCAACTCTGCAGAAAACTGCAGAGGGATTGAGCACCAGAGTGGTTCGGCCGAACCACCAGGTTCGACCGAACCAAAGCTGGCCTCAATCCCTCTCAACTTTCATAGGTAAGCTGGTGAGCACGTCTATTATCTGTATATCTCCACCATGGTATAGTACTAGAGCTGGAAATTCAAAAAACAATTGGTCCAAGCATAAGTAAAAGATAAAATTTCCAATTAATGAAAATTTTCATATGATTGATCTTGTATATTCATTATTCTCAGCTGAATTTGTGCTTGTGAACAACCCTCCATGTTTAGGGAACCTTATACATCCAAGTGATTGCTATATGTGAGATGATTAAAGATGAAAGGAATTCTTGCAACTCTTGTTATGACTCTTGGGAATTTGTTTTCAAAATAACATGTTTAAAAAAAGCTCAATCCTCCAATTGACTTCATGTTATACCTACCAAGGCCATATGCAAGAGTATCTTTGATAAACCTTATTATGCATATGACTGCTTGGCATTATATTGAGCTTTGTCAAATTGATGTGACTCGTGTTAGATATCTTTCATACTCTCACGATCAAGGGGTCAATTCCACTTTCATTTCCACATACATGATAAAGCTAAGCTTCTACACTGGAAGTTGGCTTCCCACAAAAATTCCATTCAAATAAACTCGTACTTTAGACTATGCTTTCTTCTCCTAGAAAAAAATCCTTGGCAAAAAGAAAATGAGAAAAGGAGGGAAAGGCATGGCTATGAAAAAAAAAAGAGAAAAGGGAATAAAACTTGCTCTCAAAACATTGAGCATGATGAGTATATATATAGCCATGATGAGTATATATATATATATATATATATATATATATATATATATATATATATATAGCCATGCCTCTTCCATATTTATGCCAAGAAAACAAAAAGGAGGAGAAAGTATAGGAAAAAGGGAGAATCATTTCTTTATTCCATCATTCCACAAAATATTTTACTTTTCCATTTTCTACCACAATTAAAGACCCTTGATCTAGGAGTATGGCTGATGATCTTCTTGAGTCCGTATTTTTGGCTTTGCAATATATATGATGTAGGTATGTCACAATTTTTCCCAACCAAGCTCCACATATCAGCCTTAGAATAGGGGTAAATTCTAGCACACTTTGCCTTGGTGAGGATCCAAAAAGAAAATATACATCCTTGAGAGATAAGAGAGAAAGTCAACATGAGGAAAGGAGCTGGTTTGCGAAAATTCATTAAAAAATCCCATGAGTCTGACAGAAGAAGCAAGAAGAACTGGAATCGAGATCGTTCCATCTATCAATTACTCAAGATGGTAAGATAGCCACTGATAAAGTTCACAGGAATAGGTATGGTTGTGAATGATTTGTATGCTTGATTCATATCTTGAAGAAATTCATTCTACACTAGCCTTTACTCATGGACAAGCAAAGGGCTAAGTGTGGGGGGTTTTGTTGGCGGCTGTTAAATGCTGATTCTATACCGCTAACATCTGCATAAAGTTCAAATAATAAAACATCCAACATAGTGATAGGTGCTTAATCTCACATATTCCACAAGTGTTGGTGTATATTTGTATGCAGGTGATAAACCCTGAAGTTGGGAGGAAAATCAGACTAAAGTGAGGAGAAACAAGTATCCATACAAGGATGGGTTGTGAACTTCATCAAAATACCAAAGACTCAGCCCAAAATTCCAAGAAACAGACAAAGGAGAGACCAGGGAGTCCACAGGCCGAAGGCCAGCCCGAGAGGGCCCAGCCCAGGTTCGGCCGAACCCAACCCCCCTGATCACCGTTGATCCTAATGACGGTTGCGGGGCAGTTCGGATATTTCTCCTTCTCACAACCGTCATAACTGCCCTATAAATAGACCTCACTTCTTCACTTCACACACACACTTCCAAGCTTGAGCTGAATTGTAAGAGGCTCTATTGTACTATATTGTATACTAGAATAGGAAGAGAGTAGAGTAGAAGAAGTCGTAAGAATTCCGGAGTTGTCGGTAATCTTCTTCTATTTCTTTTATTCTGTTTATTTCTCTGAATTCAATATAATATTCTTCGTGAGTAATTTAGATTTATCTTGTGAGAATTATCTCTTGGTTAGTTCCTAAATAGCATATAGGATTATTGTTCACTATAATCAACTAAAATATAGTGATTGCTTTGGTGAGTTATAAACACTAAAGTAGATATTAATTGCTTAGACGTGGTGTTTAGGTAATTGTTATCCAGTAATTGCTGCGTATCCCACTGTACGTTTGTTAACAGTGAAATTTGGTAATCGGCAACGTTTGATGTAGGTGTAGAGGTGGTGACAGCCCTCAAGATCACTTAAGTCCTCCCTATCCGGGTATGTAGTAGAGCGACAACTCGTTTGTCCATGTTCCCAACCCTTTCTCCTCGTTTTCCGCGCGCACGCTTTTCAAACTGCTAAACGGTGTATTTTTTGTAAAAAGTTTATATACGAAAGTTGCTTAAAAATATATTGATCCATTTTTTTTAAAAAAAGCTAAAACTTAATTAATCACGTGCTAAACACTGTTTCGTTTTGCGTACTGGGGAGTCCCGACCACAGCCTAATAGTGGTTAGCTGGCTGGAAACCCAGTAATTGCATTGCTCACATATACTCCCAAATGCACTGTTTACCTAAGGGCCAAAAAGAAAAACACTATTCAATTCAGGGTGCCCCCACTGTTCCCCACATTTGAAGTCTGAATCAAAATTTTCTCCAACTTTTAGCACGGATTGGCTTTCAATAGAAGCTGGGTCTTATGGGTCTTATGACCTTTCTTAAAAAAAATAAGAAAAACTTTTAGCACGGATAAGGCCCTGTTTAGATCCTGGTAAATTTTTTTACCCTGTCACATCAAATATTTAGACACATACATAGAGTATTAAATATAAAAAAAATAACTAATTATATAGATTGCGTGTAAATTACGAGACGAATCTTTTAAGCCTAATTGCTCAATGATCTGACAATGTGGTGCTACAGTAAATATTTACTAATGACGGATTAATTAGGCTTAATAAATTCGTCTCACAGCTTGCAGGTGAATTCTATAATTTGTTTTGTTATTAGTCTACATTTAATACTTTAAATGTGTGTCCGTATATCCGATGTGACACGCCAGAACTTTACACCCCTTAATCTAAATACAGTCTAATAAAATAGGAGTATACGGAAAAAGAGCTTCCGTGTCAAAGAAGATATGGTTTAGTCCATCCTAGGACATTTCGTCATCTTTGCTACTAGTATATTCTTTCAAAAGAAAAATCTTTGCTGTATTCCAGAAACCAAGTAATGGTCAGATTGATGCGCAGCAAGTATATAAAAATAAAAGGCAATAGTCTCCTGTTCTTATTTAGCTCATAGTATTTTTTTATCGTTGTTTTGTTTTACTCACACGTAGGAATAGAAATGGCCCCCTTTTCTATTTCGAAAGTTCAGCGGCAGGACTGGGAAGCAATAACCGAACCGAACTTCCCTGGCAGAAAAGAAAGGAAACTGGTTTCTCGAAAAGAAAAAAAGAAAGAAAAGGGAAGTACTATAGCAGTAGTAATATCATCTCCAATTCGTTCCCTTCTGTTCTCAAAAAGCAAAAAAAATCGTTCCCTTGCTCCATCACCTCACCCCTAAATGGAACCACATGTAGTATTCGGAGGAGGGGGTTGGGAACCCCTCCTACCAGGCACGCAAAACGAAGTTCATTTTATTGCATAATTAATTAAGTTTTAACTATTTTTTTAAAAAAATAGATTAATATGATTTTTTTAAAGATAACTTTCATATAAAATTTTTTTATATAAATCACGTCATTTAGCAGTTTGAAAAATATACGCGTGGAAAACCAATGGGGCAAGAAGTAGCGTCAATGCGTGATACAGTCCCAGACGCACAAAACAGCTACAGTGCAACATGGACTGTAGACAGCTAAGGTGGTGTTTACATCCAGGGACTTAACTTTAGTCCCTGTCTTTAGACACTAATTTAGAGTATTAAATATAGACTACTTACAAAACTAATTACATAAATAAAAGCTAATTCACGAGACAAATTTTTTAAGCCTAATTAATCTATAATTAGAGAATGTTTACTGTAGCATCACATAGGCTAATCATGGATTAATTAGGCTCATTAGATTCGTCTTGCAAATTAGTCCAAGATTATGGATGGGTTTTATTAATAGTCTACGTTTAATATTTATAATTAATTTTCAAACATCCGATGTGATAGGGACTTAAAAGTTTTAGTCTCATCTAAACAGGGCCTAATACTCGCACGCACGCATTCCCATGCTGCCCACAAAAAAACGATTGGAAAGCACGCGCAAACGTTTCCATCCCGTGGGATGCTTCCAACCAACGGCAGCAGCAAGCTGCAGCCGCCAACCCAACGTCCCAACCCACGCGACGCGACGCACGCAGGCAGGCAGGTTCGTTCGGTGCCACCACCCACCACACGCCGCTGCGTTCCAGTGCCAGTCCATCTCCAGTGGTCAGCGGCGCAGCCAATTTCCCTTCCCCCGCAAGCTATAGCCACCCTGACCGAAACGCGGTTTTTATTAGCGGGGGAATGCCAATTCCTTCCTCACGCCTTCCCCCCACCCACATTTAGACTCTACGAGACACACCATCACGCCACCGAGTGGTACTAGCCTCTTTGCACGGCAACTCGGAGCGAAAAGCTCTTTTTACCTCATCTTCTCCTCTTGTTCGTCTTGCTCTGTTTCTTTCTTGTTCTCTCCTGGACTTGTGGTCGGAGGTGGGATTGATTTGGGTGACATGGTGCAACACCATAGGGCCACCCTCCTGCTGCACCAGCAGCAGAGGAAAGGGGATGCGACGGCAGAGGAGGGGCAGCAGCTGGTGGCCGAGGAAGGAGCCGGCAAGATGAAGGAGCTCCGGCGCCGGCTCGTGGACTACGCGTGCCACCACCGGAAGCACGGCCACGACGCGCTGCTGCGGATGCTCGCGGGGTTCGCGCTTGTCTCCTGCCTGCTGCTGCTGCTGCCAGGGAGCCCTTTCTCAGCCGCGGTCGACGACCTGCTGCAGATGGGGAGGACGCGCCTGGACGACGAGACGCCGCCGCCGCCGCCGTGCGCGGCCGTGTCCAACGGCACCATCTGCTGCGACCGCACCGCCATGCGTACGGACGTGTGCATCATGCGCGGGGACGTCCGGACGGAGGCCGCTTCCAATTCTCTCTTCTTGCTCGTGCCGCCGCCGGACAATTCCACCGCCGCCGCTGGCCGGGACGAGCGCATCCGCCCTTACACCCGGAAGTGGGAGTCCAGCATCATGAGCACCATCGACGAGCTCCGGCTCCGTGCCGTGCCCGAGGGGGGTGCGGCGCCGGCTAGCTGCGACGTCCGGCACGACGTCCCAGCCGTCGTGTTCTCCACCGGCGGGTACACCGGCAATGTGTACCACGAGTTCAATGACGGCATAATCCCGCTCTACATCACCGCGCGCCAGTACAACAAGAAGGTGGTGTTCGTCATGCTCGAGTACCACGACTGGTGGATGACCAAGTACGGCCACATCGTCGAGCAGCTCTCCGATTACGCGCCTATCGACTTCACCAACGACCGCCGCACCCACTGCTTCCCGGAGGCCGTCGTTGGGCTGCGCATCCACGACGAGCTCGCCATCGACGCCGCACGAATGCCGGGCAACCGTACCATCCAGGACTTCCGTCGGATGCTCGACGACGCATACCGCGGCCGCATACAGATGATCATCGAGGAGGAGGAGAAGGCCGCGGCGGTGGCCTTGGGGACGCCGACCCAAGGCAGCATCAGGAAGAAGAGCGCGCTCAAGGACGACAAGCCACGACTGGTGATCGTGTCACGGAACGGGTCGCGCGCGATCGAGAACGAGGCCGAGCTGGTGCGTGCAGCTGCTGGCGCCGGGTTCCGCGTCGCCGTGCTCCAGCCTCGTCAGGATACGGAGCTCGCCAAGATGTACCGTGCTCTGAACGCATCGGACGTCATGGTGGGCGTGCACGGCGCGGCCATGACGCACTTCCTCTTCATGCGGCCGGGCTCCGTCTTCATCCAGGTCGTTCCGCTCGGCACCGACTGGGCCGCCGAGACATACTACGGCGAGCCGGCGCGGCGGCTCGGGCTGCGGTACATGCCGTACAAGATCAAGCCGGCGGAGAGCTCGCTGTACCGGCAGTACGCCAAGGATGACGCGGTGCTCACCGACCCGGACACCGTGAACGCCAAGGGGTGGCAGGTCACCAAGAAGGTTTACCTCGATGGCCAGAACGTGCGGCTGGACATGGTACGGTTCCGTCGCCGGCTGCGCGACGCGTACGACCACTGGGCGGAGCTGAGGAGGCGCCACAACGCGGACAGTACTGAGACGGAACAGCGGAAACCATGGTAGGAGTAGGAGTAGCATGGTCTCCTACCGAGTTCTTTTGATTAATTCTTTCTCTTTTTGACACATATACATGGTTAATTCAAATACTGTATAGAGAAATTCAGGGAGATAGTTGCTTTACATGCCACCAGTTTGATGGGATGAGTGACACTTGTTAATGGACTACAGCTGTTAATGTACATACTCATAAATTGGTAACAGGAGCAAAAACAAACGCAGGTACAAAGGTTTTTGTGTAGTAGATGTCTTCACAAATTACACGTTCGGTAATTTGCAAAATTGCATATAAGGAAGGATGTGTGCTTTTTCAAATAAAGGGAGGAGCTATATATATATATATATATATATATATATATATATATATATATATATATATTCGGAATTGCTAAAGCTATGTCGACAGAAAATCTAACCACAAATCTTGTAAATTTTGGATCACTGGATGTGCTTCACAATTCATGTTCTTCTTCACCAACTCCGGCGACCACCTCTTCTTCTCCGGCACCAGCGAACCCGAACTCCAGTAGAGGGCCAACGAATTAGGGTCCCGGGGTGGGGTGGGGGTGGGAAGAGGGGGGGAGGGGGAGGGGGAAGAGGGGGGAGTTTGCCGGCTTTAGAGGGATGGCCGTAGGAGGCGGCAGGCTGGAGGACGGCGGTGGGCCGGCGTTGGTGGAGGGGGCATCTCGCCGCCGACTGCTCAAGGAGGAAGGAGGGGGGGAGGGGGAGGAGGCTGGTCGGGGGGGGGCCTCGCCGGCGCCGTTGACGCCCTCTGTCCAGCCGGCAAGGCGGGCGGCGGCGCAGAGGGGCGGTGGCTGCCAGCTGGACAGCGGCGCAGAGGGGCGGTGGCAGCGGGAGTTCATGCGAGGGACGAGAGGAGTGGTGGCGGCGTGATCTGGATAGGGAGGAGAAGAGGAGTTAGGGTTAAAGGGTCTGCTCGAATCTTAAAGCATATCTAATAGTCCAAAATTTGAAAGATAGGAGGTGGAATTTTCTATCAACAGATATGTAGATAGTCCCATATTTTTTGCTGTCCTGTTTTGTTTCCATATGGTGCTATATTTTTTACTAAAAAATAGTCGGCATTCATATACTCCCTCCATCTACAAAAGTTACACCTATTTCACATTTGAGTTTTTCCAAATAAGTTGTTCCTATTTATAATCTTTAATTCTTTATGCATTCAAGACTTAAATGAAGAGATAAATTAAATGTTTTATTCGAACTCAAGGAGTCATCTAAATATTCATTGGTTGTATGCTTGCATTCACTCCTTAATTTTGTAACATCCAAGATGATTTAATTTCTCCTTGGTCTTGGTATCAAAAGTAATATGTGTAACTTTTGTGGATAGAGGGAGTATATTGTAAATTTCTAAATTACATATGTAATTTTAGTGTATTTACAATGTAAGTCTCAAAATTACATATATAAGTTCCAAAATTAGATATGTAAGTTTAAAATTACATATGTAATTAGTATGTAATTATAATATACTCCCTCCATCCCAGAATATAATAAGTTTTATGGTTGGACACGGTTATTAAGAAAGTAGGTAGTAGAAGTGAGTGGTAGAGGATTGTGATTGGATGAATAGTGGAGGTAGGTGGGAAAAGTGAATGGTGGAGGGTTCTGATTGGTTGGGAAGAGAATGTTGATGGAGAAATTGTTATATTTCGAGACAAATTTTAAGTGCTAAAAGTTATTATATTTTGAGACAGAGGAAGTAAGTACGATGTGATTAGTACGAGTAATTTATCCGTTAATAATATCAGCATGTACGCTAGAAACAAAACAGAACAGCAGAAAATATAGTTTAATCTTCGAGTGAAAGCAAATACTAGCCCCACATCTTGGAGATAATTGGACCGAGCAAAAATCGACTGCAACCGGTTGAAAAAAATGGCGACACAATTTTAGCAATGCCAATTCGAAAAATACCCCACCTATGAATGCCAAGTCGTTAGCGCCGACACATGCAAAAGATGTGTCATCAAATAGTTCCGTTAGAATGACAAAGTTCTTTCGAGCTTAGCGACCAACACATAGCACATGAATGTTATGGAGTGGAACAGGACATTTTCTGGGGAATAAGATCGAGGAATTTCCAACGACAAAAGTATTTCTAGAGCCAAATGTTCGCTCTCTTTCAGTGAACTCTAACATACACACCCAAAGTGTCACCTCGGCATGAATCCAGTCTAAACTGTACAGTGTTGTTTTTTTTTTTTTTTTTGGGATATGACACAAGGCACTAGGATGGTGAAACTGATACAGCAGGATACATCACGTAATGATCTCTGACAGTGGAGGTGATCAGCGGACTGGCAATGGCCATCTTTAGAGGCAGCTAACCATGTTGATGTTGAGCAATTCATTGGTCCCCTGCCACATACTCTAAGGAGAAACACCAGCCATTCGCAGAGAAATTGGGCCATCAGATACACAAAGAATTATGATCTCACTGGTCTTTGAGCAAAATCTTCCATTAATACATCTTACATTACAGTGAAGGCTGCAGTGTCATTTCTTGCCCATTCTGGTGATTTTCTGATGGTCCCCCAGGTGCGTCTGTAGGAATCTTCGAATCTGCACAGTGTTGTAAATCCCAAGCATCATGTTAGTTCATTGTGTATACATACCTAACGATGGCATATTCAGACTAGTTAACCAACAAATATATTATAAACACACACACACCAGGTTCAGTTGGCAATGGAGTTGAGGATTTGATCTCTTCTTTTGCAGGTGTTGAAACCTTTGAACAAGGCTTATGAAACAGTAAATGTGCCACAATGCGGTCGATTGGATTTGTGTTTGTTTCTGCTTCACTTGCTGGAGATCTGGGATTGTATCAATCAAGAATTTGTCACTGAAAAAAAATATACCTATTGTACTCATATATACGCAACGGCAGCTAGCTACTTGCAAGCAGCAAAAAGATGGTATAAATAAGATGAATTGGTACGAGGTAGAAATTGCAGATCTTCAACTACTTGCTGGATGATGAAGGAATTTCAGAGCTTCTTGGCTAGGGTTGTGTTTATTTTTTTGGAGAGATTTTCAGAATCTTTTCGTACAAGGCTGCACATTCCAGCTACAACCAAAATGTCAGGGGAACCTTCAGCTGTTCCCTCCAACCAGTACAACAAAAAAACTAGCATTGGATCCATAGTATCCTTTTACTAAGGATGAACTAACAAATAAAATCTTAAAAGAAATGAGAAACCCCAACAAAACAAAGATGTTGAAACTTTTGATTACTTAATTTCAATATTTTATCCTATTCAATTTCAAATATCATTGGGTAAATATGATATGATAGGACAATTCACAATATTAGAACTGTTATCCTAGTTTAATTAGATAGAAGTACACAAACATGATGCCATTCAGATCATTATCCCCTGTTGTGCCCGATGTACTGTTGATGACTGGAACATAATTTTATTCCTAAATGTACAATCGTTCAACTTAGGAGTATCTTGATCTAAAATAGCAATATTACTTATATACTCCCTCCATCCAAAAGTCTTAAGCATATTTTTTTTTTGGTTTTACCAAATGAGATGATCATATTTGCAGTTTCAATGTGCTAAATTAAATTGTTGATCAGAGCCCAAGAAACCATCTTAATACTCATTGGTTGCATGCATGCATATAGTTCCTTGATTTTGTTACATGGGGGATGAGTTATATTCTTCTTGGTTTTGGTGAAAAAAGAAATATGCTTAGACTTTTAATGGAGGGAGTATTGCAATATTGCATTATGTACAGTAAAGCAACGCATTACTACTAGCAGTGTCCAAATGCGAGGATGGTAATACTTAATGGAACCATTATGGCATGAAGCAAAGCATACCTTCTTTTAGATGTGTCTTCTGAAACTTCATCATCATCTTTATTACTCTTGTTAGCACTACTTCTGTCACTAGTAATTTGTCTCTCTGAGACACTATGGGCCAAACGGAGTAAACTGTCTCGAATACAACGCCGAGTTCTGGTATCCAACTGTGTAAAGAAGAAAATATGGTCAATTAATTTATCTTGAAATAAGCCCTGCAACAGATATGGTCTTACATGGCATAAAAAAATCAATGTAAAAATCTGAAGAAATACTAAATAAGCTACCTTCGCAAGAGCATCTTGAAGCTGATAATATATTTTTTCTTCTATAAAGGGGTCATCAGGAATCCCAGAACTCTTCTGAATCTCTTCATGGCCAGTTGGAATCAGCTCTAGTGAGAAAACTTTATTTGCATTATCATCTATGACAACAGAACTCCCTAAGGAATCTGGATTTTTGCTCTTTGGTGAGTACGCTTGAGGTACCATGGTATCGCTGCCAGAACCATCTTGACCAAACTGCTGCTGCTGCTGCTGAATAGCTATCAGTGCTTGCATTTGCTGTCGACGCCTAAGCTTTTCAATCTTTTCTTGGGGTGTCATCATCAATGGTCTTGATGGTATATCTTGTGACTTTTCTGCGGAACTTGACTGTTTTGGGGAATCTATTGAAGTTCGGTAATTTGTAGTAGCTGGCTTTGTTTGATGGCTTTCAGCCTGAACATTTGACATCAGAGGAATGCCAGGAAATTGATATGAAGGATATCCATAGTCAGGGAAAATAAACTGATTAGCCTGCTGAAGTTGTCCCATGTTCTTGTTATCATGTAATAGCAAGTATTGAGGAGTCTGAAGGGGTTGCGCAGGGGCTTTGGCCAATGAATGCGAACTGGCTGGTCGATGCTGTCCTTGGTTCTGGGAGAAGCCACTTGTACTATTGGACATTTTACTTTTGCCTCTTTCTTCTGTTCTTCTCCGTGACCTCACTGACTTCTTCTGCACATCTCCCTACATGGAGAAGCATATTTGTGTTCAGAAACATATTTACATTTAGTTAGGAAGAGAGCAAACTTGTTCCCTACAAGTCAGATAAACTAATCAATATTCAACTGCATCTCAAATCTTAATTTGAAAAATTGACATTTATAATGAAAAAGGTAGATAAACATGACAACCTCCAATAGAAACAAAAAAAAAGGAGTATCATAAATCACAAGAGTATCATATAATGAATGTATGTTGGTCATTATGATGCCTCACAGTGCTTAATTTACTGGAACCTTAAAAGACATCACAAAGTTATAGCTGAAACTGTCAGAAAGGACTTTGATTTATAATTAAATCAGTTTAGATGGCTTCCTGGATTTAAAATACATGCTAATGAAGAATTCGGTAAAACAAAAAACTAATTCGAAATGAACAGCTGTCCTTCAAACTTATTACCCTAAATGTAAACACTCTTATATGAGGGATCAGAACAATGAAAACAACCTCAGGACATATTTTAGTGTATCACTATAACAAAATGTGGGAGATGGATTTCATTCATAAAAGTTGATAGGATGCATCACATGGCTGACTACCTCCTTTGGAAACTGATTTGGTTTTCCAGAATATTCATTATTCAGATGATTTTTATGCTCAGCTTGCTCTCCAGATTTAGCATTAGCGTCTACTACCTGCCAAAAATGAATAACAGGAGTAGCCAAGAAGTAACTGCTAATTATGACACATAAATGCATGCATTTAGACATTTACCTTGCTTTCTTGTTCGGTAGTTCCACCAGATGTTTCATTAATCAGAAGCGAAGATCCATGATCAGAAGATAGTTGTTTATTCAGTGGTATATGCTGTGGAACCATCAAGTAAATAGTATAGATAAAAAATAGTTCAAAATTATGGAAAGAGATGAAAATTCACAGTGGAAGATTATTAATGTATCGACATACTGGAAAGGGGATTGATTGTACAGTAGTATCCACCAGATCTGAAGATGCTGAGAGAAAATTACTGCCATCAGCAACCATCTCATTACCAAATATGGAGTCACCATTGCTGTAGACAATAACATCATGTGATGAGTTTATTCAATTGTAACATGTGATGATTTTATTAATTCATAAGATTTCAGGGAAAACCTCTTCCAGTGTCTGATATTACCTAAATAAGCGGTCAAAATCATCAAAATCTCCGATATTACCCCAGTCACAATCAAGGAAGCTGTTACTCTTTTCTTCATGATCATTACCAAACACTTCAGTTTCACCATCCAGCTGCACTGTACATGGGTTAACAAAAGCTATATAATTTGCTCACAAATTATGTCACCTCTTCTTTTACATAAATGGTATCCTTTTTTCCATGCATCAACATGCTTATAGATTAGCTGTTATGAAAATGAAGCAGGAATAAAATCCACACGCAGCAGTAATAGGATGAAACAAACCTGTTGTGTTTCCTGTGACCTTCTCTAAACTAGGTGCAGAACTGAAATCCAAATATGTAGATGCTATATTATCATCGCTGTAGTTTCTATCAAGTGTGGCATTCAAAGAAGGCAAGTCAGGCCAGGATTCAACGTCAAGTTGTGTAGCTGAATAATGTTCACTAGCCTGAGAGGCAGGCTGCTTTTCCAAAACTGGAAACTCAGTTTGACCACTTGAACTTCGTTCAGTAAGGCCAGGAATATTATCAGTTTCTTCATCATTCTTCTTCTGGTCTCCAACACTTACTAATGCACTATCCTCTGTATCCTTAGGGTAAGGCACAATATGGTCTTCATTCTCATTGAACTCAGCCCATATTGCATCTCCCACCTGCAATTCAAACGATAATCTGAAAATACTCTGAGGAAATTTAAGCAGAGTCTCATTGTCAAATTATTTTGAAACAATTTACGGAGCCATCGTTTCGCTTATTCGCGGAATAAGCGAAACGCGCGAATAAGTGAAACGGCGTATTTGCAAATGAAAAGTAATTTGTGAATAAAACTGTTATATACGTGTTCTTAGCGATCTAAAAGAAAAGGCTGAAAAATAAATTTTGATGAAAAAACCTCAAAATCAGCTCCAAATTTAAGGTTGAAAATTCAAATTTTAGCTGATAAGCATAAGCATAAGCGAAAAGATGAGGTCCTAAAGGAGAACACACATGAATATACCCTACAATATAAATTCAATTGTATAGTAGAATAAATAATGTGTAAAATTAGAGTGCAAGATTCCTATCATGGTTCTCTATTCATAATCGAGAGTGATATGAGATTATACAATTTAGGTCACTAAACCGAAACTATTAAGCCACAACGTTTTAATTCATATGGGTAGGCCTGCTGTCTGAATCATGAATTTTTGATAAAAAGAAGACCATTTTTCATAATCAATCCAATCCATTTTACATTACCCAAAGAGTGACCTACTATAAGAGAACTTTAATACACCAAATGACATAAGTATCAGAGTATGATCCTACTTCTAATAATTCACAACAGAAACACTGTAACTTGAAGTTATCAGCGTCCAGCAGCCGTCACGTGAATTCAAAAATATATAACCTTGGTTCACAATACTGCTATGTAGAGAAGACTAACGATAGAAGTCAGATTGGCAGCACTCCCGTGGAGTCGCAAAAGATTATTGGGACATCCACCACCCGTCGACGCAATAGACAATTCTACAAGTTACATAACTTCCAATTTAGTGTAACCTTACCTTATGAGACCTAGCACAACCCAACCGCACGCGGTAGCATCTAAATGCCCACAAGACTCTCTCTGCTAGGTGAGCCTCCTTGGAAATAATCCTATCATCCTCGCTCGCTCGCTCACAATCATCAGCTGCTTCTTCGAGCACTAAAATCCCCTAGAAATGAGAAGGCGGAAAAGCAATATCCCCTTACCAGACCACCACATATAAACTAGCTTCGCGCGGTACACGTGCTCGCACAGCAAAGCAGATCCAGCCGCCACAGCATCCGCGGCACGAAACTACAGCTAAGAAAAGCAAAGGGAAGGACGGATTTCCTCTGCGGCGCACCTGCTGCTGGTCGTCGTTCCACTCGAACATCCTCCTCAGGTGGCGGCCGCCGCTGGCGCCGCACCCGAACGAGAGCCCGATACGCGCTGCCCCCCGGGTCCCGACGGTTGCATCTCCAGCCACGGCAAAAGGGAAGGGCAGAAAATCCTCCAATTCGGTGACGCGGCGGAGAATCGCGTTGCGCTTGCTCGCTTCTCCTCCTCCTCCACTCGCGACCTGTGTTGTCGTCGTCTGCGCTTCCCTCTCCCCCCTCTCCCTCTCTCCTCTCCCTTCCCACCCACCGAGAGGAGTCCAGGGAGGGGCGGACGCGTGGTGCAAGATGATTGGGCGGGCGGTCGGGGTTGAGGTGCGGGAGGGCCACGTGTGGAGGGGGCGCATCTCGGGTAGTGGCGGAGATGGCTCGATCAAATGCCGCTCGTTGATTGGCTACTGCGGGACTTAGCGGGTTAACGGGCGGGGCTTAGCGGGCTGGGCCGCGTCGACTCGTGGGGGTCGCTTTTCATGGCTTGTTGGGCGGGCCGCCACGGGCAAAACGTAGGACCAGAGATCACTAAGCTTTGGTCATATTAGCGACTCCATATCACCGCAAGTCGTTTAGGTATTCAATCATGTTTGTCTACTGGTTAAAAAAAACTTATCAATAACCATTAGTAAAGTACAAGTCTAGTTGTGGGTTTTGTATCCAACGATTGACCATCTGTATTATTAGAAAATTTTTATGATTATTAGTATTTTTATTGTTATTCTTTGTGTGATTTATTTTTTAAAATTTTTTTATAGATTTTTCAAATAAGACGAACGATTAAATATTGGATATAGAAACTCACCACTGTACTTAGGGTGCGCTCGTCTGTGTTTATTGTAGTATCGAATTAAATCTGAGTGTAATCAGTACTGTAGGCTGTTAGTAGTAAATATGGTGGGTGGCTGAATAGTAGGTAGCAAGGCTGGATGGAGTTTGATGCCGGTTGGAGTAGCTCCTTGAGATTGCCGACGGAGCAGTGATGCAAGCGACGTGACGGGACGGGCAGGGCTGTCAGTAGCAGGCAGCACTAAAGGCGCTGCAGCCGCTGCTGTTGGTGTCGGCTTGACTTGGGAGAGGGTGGGGCTTTTCCTCCTTGCTCAGATAGGCCTGCGCGCATGGAGCCGACAGTGATAGGCGCACAAAAAAAGAAGTAATGTGATCAGCAGGATGATTAGTTGTAGATTAATGTACACAATTAATTGCTCGATAAAATTCTAATGAATGTGAAATGCGTGATTAACAATACCAAAGTTCACATAGATAGCAATATAATAGCGTTATACAAATTCGAGTAGAACAACAGGACAGTTGTTTCTCGTACCGAGAACACACATAAAATAGGCTAACTTGAGAAAGACATGAGCAAGGAATACAAATTTATTAAGGATAGAAAGTGATGCAGGACTAATTGTTGTAAACTTTCAATCACGTCACGAACAGCTCTCATCCCCGCGGCACTATTCCGTGCGTCATACCAATTGCGCAGCAGTGGTGCCTGTGGGATGGGCGGGTACCTGTTGTACAACCGGTTCTGTGTCATGAAATGGGGGTCTGCACTGTCGAGCCTGAAGTTGTGGAGAGCAAAAACGCAGTGTATGATCTTCGTTTGGGTGTGGCCTAGGGAAAAGAGGTATCTCCCTAAGAATCCTACACTGACTCTTCATAACTCCAAAAGCTCTCTCAACTGAAGTACGCAGGGAGGAGTGCATATAGTTGAATGTTTCTTCCCTCCCTTGCGATTGACCAGCAAATTCATTCAAATGGTAGCGTACATGCGGGTACGGTGGCAAGAAACCGCACTGGCAAGCGTACCCAGAATCCACTAGTAGATATTTACCTAGACAGTGAACATGAGAAATTTCAGATGAAAATTGCATGAGGGAGTAATATGATGGTGTTGTGTACTAACTGGATTAAAAAAACCGTCAACATTGGTACTTACCCCATGGCAGCCTTGGAAAACTATGGGGATAGTTCCGGATAGCTTCTGTGAGCACCCGCTGGTCGTGCACAGCTCCAAGCCATCCGGCATCTGCAAATATAACACGATCGTCCCATCCAATTACAACTAATACATTCCTTGATGTGATATGGTGACGATTGCGGTGCAAATTAGCTTCTTCAACTGCAACATGAACTGGGATGTGGGTCCCGTCTGCAGCTCCTGCATCCCCAGCAAAAGGCAAGAAATTTTCATCTTGCGCAACACGGTTATGCACTCTTCGAAAACTAGGATCCACAGGCTTGTTGATATCAGCTGCCATGGAGTAAACTGCATGGTCAACAGACACTCTCCTACCAAGGTCAACAGACATCATCAGCGAAGATCAAACATACGACAACGAAATCGGTTAAGAATTTCACTTACCTGCTGGCAGGCAGCTTCAACGTCCTCCTCTTTGGAGGAGGAGCCAGACTACCTGTATCCCGCGTAAGATAGCAAATCATGACCCCATTCCGGTATCTTTGAAAAGGAGTCAAAGAGCGAGGACGGTGCGCTTTACCTCGGAGCCGGCAGACTTCTGCCGAGAACCGGCGGGAGCGCTCGATCTCGCCCACGGCTTCCGCTTGGTCCCGCTGCCCCCTGCGATGGCATGAGCGGATGAGATCTTGGCGACCTCATCAGCGACCTTGCCCTTTAGCGAGGCGGAGGCCTAGTGGTCAACAAGGGGACCGATGACATCCGTCAATGGCAAGACCTGCAAGAGTTGAAGTCACTTTGGCCCTTTAAAAGAATAAAGATACGCGGCGTCCCGGTTCTCGCTTACATTAATGGCAGCAGCTTTCTCGGCTGCCGACTTATCGCAGAGCGGGGCTGGCGGCTCTTCAGCCGAAGAGGTGCCACTGATCAAGACCTCCTTGACCCTCTGCACCAGCGTGTCGTCAAGAAGATCTAAAATAAATGAAGATACAAGGAAACAAGATTAGATCTCGTCTACAAGTTTAACATCGAAAGTGATGAGATGAACCCTGAGGTCCTCTCGGCACTCAAGGCTACAGTTTGGCCCGATCTTTCGGTGAGTTCAGATAACTACGATTTGGGAGAAACGTTGATGATCCGACTACAACCGTACAAGACGTTGCGTTGCGCCTTAGCGATCGATACACCTCTTCGTGGGTTGTTGATCTTGCCGGTGCAGATCAACCCTATTCCTGCAAGCAAATCGAAGAAACAAGCAAGAACAAGATAAAAGCAATCTAATATTGCAAATAGGAATTGAATATAAATGATAAGTTGGGGTTTCGGGGTTTCGAATACAAGCAGACGGACGGTCTAGCCGACACGTGCGCTTCAAGGAAGTAGCAATGGCTAAACTTTCATCTAAACAAAACCCAACTAACTCTGAAGGGGTTACTAGCTATTTAAGGGATGGAGGAGGTCAGAAGGGCGTTCTCCCTTTGTTTGGGGCGCAGCCCCCCTTGGGCCCCACTTGGGCCGGGGTCACAGGCCCATAGGCCCATTACAGACAATGCTGCCCCTTATTTCTTCAATTGCCGATGACTCAGATGGAATTTAACAATGAGATTGGATCCGTTGGAAAGAGGATTCCGAGAGCTTTCCATCAAGTAATCGTGGGCCCAAAACGGAGGCCATATGGAGATTTAGCAACTGTTTGAATTCAGCACTATCTCAGGTGGCCGAATTGGATTCCAGAACGCGGCGGACTTCATCTCCATCTCTGCATGCACCATGGCCATCGTGTTTATCTTCCATATGCAGGCCAAAATAAGTGAATTGGTCCTGAACATATAAACACATACATTATGAGGCAGTGTCATATTCTTGATTAGATTAAATTGACACTTGTTATGAAACGATACCACCTATGGGTATATGACATGATCAATGGTTGTATCCGTCGTAGGCATGGTCACATCATCCTCCCCTTCTTCACGGGAAAATGTCCTCGGTTTTAACATGGGTAATTCACATAGCATATCCTCACGCAACGCTTCATATGGCGCATTCTTTACTGTATATGGCAGCAACATTGAGCGATCTCGTCGCTCCCCTTCTTCAGAACCAACCTGCGTCTTTGGACAAAAGCAAAACAAACTTGAAGTAACATTAGTGGTCCTAACACTACTCTCCAGTTTGCATTTTCTTGGCACAACAACAGAGGGTTGCATATCTGAACAAATGTAAACTTTGTGCACCAAATAAATTTCTCTATCACTATATTTGCCAAAGATGTGAAAAATAACATTACGAGGACATGGCAAATCAGAATGAGCAAATATTTTGTCCTTCAAACAATTGAGCTCACAAGAATCATCAAACAGAATATAGCCCAATGTATTTAAAGAAGATTGCAATTGAAGTTCATCATTCTCACTGGACGTGTGAATAACATGCTTAAATTCAGTACATGGAGAATCAAGATTAAAAGTAGCATGTTCATTCACTAGTTGTGGAATGGATATAAGTGAAGTGCTATCGCACAACTCTTCTTTATCACAAGGAACATAATGTAAATCAACTTGTGACAAAGGCAATTCAGAAGTAGGTTCCACTAAAGTTTGCTCTAGGTTAGCATGGAAAGTGGAAAAGTGTAATTCATCAGAAACATACTCACCTTGAGTAATTTCTGCACCATTTAATTTACCTTTTATCCCCTCTTTAGATAATGTAGGTGCATCAGCCTTCTCCTCATTCGCGAGTGATGGAAGTGACATCTCAAACATATCGTTCTTCTCATTTTGGGGACTGTTCTGAACTTCCTGCAAAACATCAGTGATAGGAGGCACAAGCATAGCTTGTTGCTCTGTTGGGTTCTCCAAAATTTTGCGCTCAACATTGCAAGCAAGCATGAACAATTGGCCTATATGATTATATGTCACATTAACATGCCCATCAAATTTTAAAATCATGAAAGTACTCCCTAACAGTTTTGTCACCTTGTTTTAGATGTTGAAATTTCTCAAGGAGAGCACGTCTATAGTATGAAAACACAAATCTTTTTCTCAATAGTATTTTGCATTCATCCCAAGTTTCAAGCTTATTTCCCACAGTATGCCATCAAAAAGATGCAGAACCGGTACACTTATTACTAGCAGCCTTAATCATTTGAGCATTAGAAAAATCATACTCATCAAATTGTTTTTCTACTGCTAGCTCCCAATTAACGTATGCAGCAGAATCATACTTTCCATCAAAAGATGGCAAAAACAGACTCTACTCTTGCAAGATTATGATCATGTACCTTATTTGCGTCATGTTGGTCACTTGCCATGTGTTGTCGAAGGTGAAAATGTCCACATTGAGCACGAACAGCTCCAAACTCTTTGTGTAACCCTGCCATAGTTAGTAGCAAACAAGAAACATATACAAGAATATATACGTTCCTATCAACTACTAGGTAGTGGA